GTTTCATATCAAATGGAATGTTAGTAACAAAAAGCTTCTTTTCGGTCTTACTTGATGACATTGCTCTGAGCGTAAAACCAAAGACTAAAACCGACCGCTTTTATACATAAGTTCCATTAAAATGTCTGACATTTAGGAAACTTGATCATCCATACGAGATAGCAAAAAGCAGCGGGAGACGAATTATATCAATCACCACCGACTTGACGTTTCCACAAGTCTTCAACGATCAATTAATCAAAATCTTTCTCTAAAAAGGATCATAGGCATTGATCAATTGCGATCATTAGCTTTTTAATTGTAAGCGTTAACTAAAAAAAACTTCTTTGGGTATGTCACGCCGTTTGCGTTTGGACTTTATAAAACAGCTTTTCAAACAAAATTTGTTAACCTTTTTTGATATGTTATTTTTCCTTTTCACGTAGAAACAAACTGCAAAAACATGTGTTCGAAACAACCACAATCATAATAATGATTATAGCTTAATTAAGAAACGTTCTTAGCTAGCACAATCGTAAATTTTATATATTTTCTATATTTGGTTGGCTGAGAACTATATATTTTCTATATTTGATTAAGATTAATGGAGTAGCCCAAAAAAAAATTAGCTCCGTTTTTTCTACACATATATATTTTTATTATTTATGTTTAGTTATTCTCATTGCATTTTATATATTATATGTACCTTTAAATAATGCATTACTTATACACATCAATTAATCGTTTCAATACAAAGTTTAATTCTTCCAATTGAATGTGAAAGTTTGAATTGTTGTTTTAAGGAAATGTCGAAAATCAAATACATGCCTGTATTTCAAGTATATTTGTTCTTAAATTCGTTAGGTGTTATGTGCTTAAACAAAATATGGTGTATAATCAATTCGATGATCTTTTATATTATTTTTTCTTTGCATATCAAATTAATGTAAATACCAATGTATAATGCTATATTGTTTCGTTTTAATCACTTTTATTAAAAACGAAGAATTTTTTATATAAAATATCAATGGTCCAAAAAAGATTTGTCGAACGTCTAGACCAATCAATCAAATGCTTAACCAAAATTGGACGTTTGGCCTGATAGATGAATATGTAAACCGATTAATCAGTCATCTAAACTAATTAATCAAATGTTAAATCAATAAGCCAAGCGTCTAAACAAAATAACCATATAACCGATTTGGCCAAAATCATGATGTCCGGAATGCGTGGACCGTTTTTTCCATATGAATTATTATATTGGCTATGTGTGTTTATTGGAAACACATAGTGGTACCAAAAATATGTCACCAATCAATGTTACTTTTTGTTTATCTGTTTC